ACTTGCAAAAGGGAATTTTTGTTGTATAACACAAAAAAACACCATTTCTAAAAATTGAGCCAAAATATTTGTATGTGGTTAAATATCATCCATTAAATCTAGAGTTTTTGGTTTTTAAGTAAAAAATTTTTTTGGTTATACTACAAATGGACCTTTTGCAAAACAATAACCAAAGAAATAATGGAAGATAATTAAAATTTAGTTATGACGTGTAGGGAAAAGAAAAAGAGCTCAGTTATGAAAATTGTGACGGCGCCATCCTTCGGTGACTCTCTTTTTGTTTTCTCATATATTCTCCACGTGAGATTCCAAGTAACTGTTAGCATTTTTGGTGTCATACGAAGTAACGGACAATTCTACTACTCTCTTATGGGTCCTAGACTACTTGTGGCATACATTCAAAAACCACGTTCGTCTTATCTTTGTTGTTAATTCATTGAAATTACTCATCTCTTTGCGTGCTTATCTTCAATCTATAAATAAGCAAGCTCATTGTGATTACTTTCTTCATTGTGTTTACCTTTTTCACTCTCTCTTTTTTACCTTAACTCTCTCATGTCTTCGTCTTCTTCGTCTCCCATAAGGAGGGGATTCCATGTCTTTCCGAGCTTCCATGGTCCAGATGTTCGTAGAGGGTTTCTCAGTCACTTACACTCTCACTTTGAAAGCAAAGGAATCAGGGCATTCAAGGATCAGGAGATCGAGAGAGGCCACACTATTAGAACTGAACTTGGGAAAGCAATTAGAGAATCGAGGGTCTCAATCGTGTTGCTCTCGAAGAATTACGCTTCTTCAAGTTGGTGTTTAGATGAATTGGTTAAAATCTTGGAATGCAGAGATTCGGGGCAGATTGTGATGACGATTTTTTACCACGTTGATCCTTCCGATGTGCGGAAACAGAGGGGAGACTTTGGAAATGCTTTTGAAAACACTTGTCAAGGGAAAACTGAAGAAGAGAAGAAGAGATGGAGCCAAGCTTTAACTCGTATCGCAGAACTTGAAGGAGAACACTTTCGAAATTGGTATATTCAAGTTATTTTTACTCCTTTTTTAAATGGAATTAGGCCATATATTAGTCTCTTAAGACATAATTAAGAGACTAATTTTAAGTAAAACAAAATTAGTTATCTAAATTTTTTGCCACATGAAATTCCAATTTTGCCCCATGATTCAATACTCGACATAGCTAACTATTGAAATTCGAAGTACATAGTGAACTACATATTTAACAATTTTTATGATTCAATGCTCTACATAGTTAACTATTTTATGATAGAATAATTAACTATGCTTATATACAATGCTCTACATAATTAGCATAGTTATCTACATACTTTACATATTGTATGTAAGCATAGTTAGTTATTTCATTATTCAATACTCTACATAGTTTATTATTTTATGATATAATAGCTAACTATGCTTACATACAAAGCAAATTATAGAATTAACTAGATTTAGCTATAAGTGTTAATTAGAAAACTATTACTTTAATAATAGCTAACTATGCTTACAAACAAAGTAAACTATAACTATTACCAAAATATATAATAATGATTGAATAGTGAATCTAGGTTGCATGGAAACGAAACGTTTGGATACATGGAAACGATTTTTTAAAAAAATTTAGGAAACGGTTACGTTTTGGAAACGTGCACACACAAAC